AAAATGTAGTAGTTCATGGTATACCATTCATCCAAGTGAATATAGGTTTATCAATGAACATGTCCTCTCTATGTGAGAATCTCATCTTTAAGTGCGGAGATCATCACCTCCTATCTGTTGTGTGAAGTACCACCTTTTCCCTCCTTGATGACTTAGATACCTAAACGCGGTATAAATATCCCCATCTGTGCCATTACTCTTTCGAATTTACTACCATGTGAATTCTCTGTAAGTTTGCTATTGAATTTTGGGCTTTTCTCCTATTAATCTGTCAATATTAATCGGTTTGTCTGGCCAGTCTTAGAAAAGTTCCGATGTAATGGTGGTATATTCCTCTGTGTCCTAATGTTAGTAAATCATAGCTGCTAATTCTCTTCCTAGTCAGCTGCATAGATTTAATACAGTACCTATCAAAGAGTTTAATCTAAAACAGCCTGTCACTCAATTCTCAAGGGAATTTTGGTTGGGAGAACAGCAACAAGCAAAAAGGATCAGTACATGATTATAATGAGTTACTCAAAATTCTACTGTAAAGGTCACATCACTTTGCCAACCTGCATATCAGACCCACCACAAATATGTTCATTACAGAATTGAACACTTTAGGATATTTGTAGGTGAAACATATTCTTCAGTTCAGTATAGATGTTTCCTTTCTGTATAAATTAAATATATTTTGAATCCAATTGAGTTTGATTGATTAGATCAGACCTTAGAGATTTGCCTTACTTGGAAACTCAGAAATTAAATATGAGCTTCAGTGTATAATCATAACCCTTCCTTAACAGATACTAAATATTTTCACAGACCTATTTCTTTTTCAAGGCATCTATGAAATCCTATTGCATAAAGCAAAAATTCAGTTTAGTAACAATAAAAAGCTACATAAGATTCACAAAATATACCTCTTGATTATCTATTTGTTACAATAATTTCCCTTTTTGATATTATGTGTTACAGATACATACACATACACACATAGAGGGTTTTTTAAAAAAAATAAGGGAGGGAAATAGTATTTGATGATCATATGCAATGCAGCTAATTTATTTTACTTATTTTTGTTATTTTCCTTACACAGCATTTAAGTTATTTCAACATTATGAAAATTATGGACTCAATCTTTAAAATTTGTGGGTGACAGTAATATATAAAGCCAGTATTTAAAGACTCGATTTCTTAAATTGAGCATAGAATTTTCACATCTATTAAAAACTAGTGTGCTTGCATAATTCATGCCACTTGAATTAAACAAGTAATAAAAATGAAACAAGAATTTACTTTTAATTACAATAAAAAATTCTGAAGGGAGTTTGGAATGTTTAGTCCAAGCTAAATATATTGATATATACTTTTTAATATTAAAGTAGAACATTAAACATCTCAGATCCTATATGTGTATATTTATTTCATTCAAGTGTCTGGTAGTAAAGCAGAAGCTATTTTTACATTCCTTAACATGTACCATCACTTTAATTAAGTTTAGTACTACACAAACTTTTATTTTTTTAACAAGGAATTTAACTCCTCCGTATGATTAAAAGTTTGCCATTTGGCAGTTTAATTTTCTACCCCTCTTCTTAACACCACTGCTAGATGGACAGCTTCCTTTTTAAAAAACCTGTCCTTATCAGTACTCTACAGGACCTGACGCTTTGCTCGTAACCTTGCAATCCCATCTCACATATTTGTTAGAACTCTATTTCCTTACACGCGAATGAACACAGTATATTTTCAAGCATGTCAGGATAGTAGGGACTATGTAAAAGATAAACCAGAGGGAATTTCTATCAGCCTGAAAGCAACTTTAAATTATGGTGAACCCCAGAACAGCCTTTTCAAATACATTAAATTCTCTCTTATTTCCTCTTTTATTTTCACAATGTGACCATCAATTTAGGGCTAGAACTGAAACATACACACGCAGACAAGCAAAATGGTAGCCCTCAAAATTTGGTGTTTGTTTGTTTGTTTGTTTATTTATTTATACAAGCACTGGGTACAGTCAGAAGCATGAGAGGGTGAGAGAATTCACCAGAGCCAGAACAGGGAACACAACAGGCAGACTGACGAAATACACTGCTGAGGGGAGCAGCGGGCGAGGCAGGAGAGGTCTGTCTGCCATGTGGGACCCTCGACCGGCTGCAGGGGAATGAACAGGTGCCGCACAGTCTGCGGGCAGCTTCGCTGCCCAGCGCTCAACCGCTGCACCACCAGGGGAGGCCCAGTGTACACTGTTTTCTAATGAAAAAATATTAGGAGATGTATATATCCTACTATCATATCATACTAGAACAAGATAACAAAGGATAATTATGAACTGTATATTAGAAAGTGCCATAAGGTAAACTAAAGTCCCCTAAGTGAAGAGAGTGTATATAATTTAGCCTATTGTTCCCAGAGCCCATTTGTGGTCTACTAACACATAGTAGGCATGTAGTAGAACTTGAGAATAAGTCAATGCACCAAAGCACAAAAACTATTCAACATTTATGATTTTGAATAGTAGGCACCATTGCCACCTGCAGAAACAAGCATTATATTGGAAGGAAGAATGAACCAAAGCCGTAGTGAGCCTCTGTATAGCAACATGGGACTCAATTTAAGCTACCCCAACTCTTTTGAGGGCAAATAGTCACAAGCTACTCTAAGGAATTCCATCATAACTGATACTCTACAAAAAACATCAACTCAGTAGAGAAAATGCCTTTCAATTTGTCTGACATTTATTCTAGTAATAGATTCAACATTTTACTAATGATTTTTGTCAGAATACTTTATCTCACTGACAGGGTTGCATTAAAAAGTTCAAAGGCTCTTAAGCAATGAAAAAAAAAAATCTGTCCCTTCACATTAACTTAAAAGGAAACAAAGTTCTGATTCACCTCATGATGGTTTTGTGAACGATTATTGAAAATATTAATATGCAACTATAAAAAAAAGTTTGGGTAGTCTGTTTTGCATCATACTTAGCCAGTGAAAAATGTTCATCTGTAGAATGTGTAATGTTCAGGATGGAATTTCTAAAGTCCTATACATTTCTAACTTCCTATATAATTTGAAAGTAGAATGAGAAAATATAAACATTTTTTCTCTGATTTCATATTTCTGATGATGTTTTACAAAATAATGCTAGAACAATCGAACAATCTTCACTAGTATTAATCAGATGGATTATTATAAACAAAAAAAATCCCTATCTCTTTTTAAAATAAATAAAATTATAGAAAAAGAGGAATGATTAGGATGGGGTTTCTCCAATATCTTGCCATGCATAATTGTTCACTAGAGGAAATTCTTTAAGGTCCAGTCATCTCTCTTCAAATCAAAAATTATTAAATTCTACAATCATTGAGGCATATCTGAGTCAAAAATTCAATCAAAGCTACTTTTTATCCATTAATTTTTCCTTAATTTCTAACCTAATGAAATAAATCAACTACACACTGTTTTTACAAGTTTTATAGACTGTCTAGATCTCATGGTTCCTTCATTTAAATCAGTTTGAAACACTCATCACTCTCTGGTGAACACATGACTTCATATATAGTTAACTATCAATTCTTGACAGCTGATTTTCCAAATTTCTCTAAAACCTCTTCCACCTAATATTTTAAGAAAATACTACTGAATGACTGACACTTTATAATTCTTGCAGCTCATTCATTTCGCCCTTTACTGTGATGCATTTATTTTTAACCTTTCGAGAAAACTCTTAGAGATCAACTAACAAGCTGGCAAAATAGACACAGGTACCGTCATTCTTTCCTGCTAAGCCATTGCTCACTTGATCTCTCTTCTATTGTTATAATTTGTTACATTGCATGTACCAAAGACAAGATAGTTTATGTTTTGACTAATATTCTCCCACTATTACCATGTAAATGATGCTAATCTAAACATGTCTATAAATGAACAATTGGAAGTTATTCAACCACCAGGGAAATATGGATATCACAGAAAAGGCCAAAGTGGCAACTGAAGGGCAGCTTTGTATACCATCTGTCCTCCACAAAGCAGAGCCAAATCTGGGTCATTACATTCAGCAGGGAGCTTTGAAATACTTTCCAACTTTGTGCAGCACTATGATGACTGTCTTTTGACCTAGTTTTGCACATGAGAAATGCAAGGCTGCCAGGCAATGGAGGCTGTAACTGTTGGATCTATGCCTTTCTGTTGCTGGAAGGATCCCTAAATTGTAAGCTTCGTAATTCTTTCCCTTTCAAGGAAACAATAATGTGGTTATGCCTGCAATCTCTTACTGAGAGGCCAATGATCCTTTATATTACTATTTCAGGTTGCATACAAATTGAAATTGACCAAGCAGGTCTTAACTTCCTTCAGTGTGAGAATTTAGACAGACTTCTTCCTGACTCTAGGCCTTTAACCTCACTTTTCTTAAAGCATCCACTTTATGAAACTTGTAATTGTAAATTCTCTCTCTACTCTTTTGAGATGTAAATCATTTTAAAAGCCCCATGCAGGTTTTACAATGCAGGATTATTTTTCTCATGGGTCTGGAAGCTGTCTCTCTGAAATGGCAACATCAAGGGATGTAGCACTCCTATCTCCCCCAGTTTTTTTTTTAATTGAGGTAACATTAGTTATAATACTGCCTGATTCAGAAGTATAGGGTCAAACCACTTCAGACATATGTTACCACGCCACACCTACCAACAGTTCTCAGTCATATTCCTTTAGCCCCCTCCCCTTTGTGCTCCACTTTCTCCAGTTCCCTTTATAAGCCTAAAATTTTGCGCCAGATTATTAGGGTTTGCTCTTGGCTTGGTTTGCCTGAGCCTTTCTTTAGTTTCTCTATATTGCATATATGAGTGAACCCATCTGGTATTTGCCTTTCTCCTTCTGGCTTATTTTTGCTTAGCATAATCACTTCTAGTCCCATTCATGGTTTTCCAAATGGAAATTGTTCAACTTTTTTTTTTTTTATTGTTAAATCTTATTTCATACATCAAAGTGAAGGTATATGTTTTTTACTGTACCTGTATATGCAAATTGGACAAGATCCCAGAGGGCATTGGGGTCTATGCCTTCCATCTTGATCTCCTCTTGCTTGGCCTCACAAACATCACTTGTAAACATGGCAGCAAAGTAGTCGGAGACTGAACTCAGAACAAGCCTGAAAGAGTCATAGGATCTAGTTTAGGTCATGAATGCAAAGTGTAAAAATGCTGTCAACAAGTACACAGCACATATGAATATCTTTCCATCCTTATCTACCTGTCTATCATCTCTCTCTCTGTCTCTCTCTCAAGCCGCCATCTTTTATCTATCTACTTATTGCATTATGGAGGGGTGTGCTTGAAAAATTGATTTAGGAATTTTTTTCCAACCTTTGGTCACAAAGCATTTTGGTATATTTTCTTTTATAATTTTTTAGTATTTTTTCCTTTCACATTTCGAGCTTTCCTTTTGGATAGAAATTCAAATTTATTTCTCTTTATAGTTTCACCACTTTTTAGCAGATTATCTACTAAAGAAAGTAATTTGTCCTAGTGGATTACTACTATGTATATCATGTATTTGTGATCTGAATATATGTGTTCTCTTTTCAATTTCTTTTCTTTTTTGTTTATTTGACTGTTCTTGTGCCAAAACATAATTATAAATGTCTTTATAACCAATAAATCAATCCTTCTCCTTTATTTTTATTTAATTATTGTGGGTTTTTATTCTTCAAAATCAGTTTACACTAAATTTTTTGAGAGCTTCAGATAAGTCAAAATGAATTTTGATTAAACATACACAGAATTCTCTTTCTAGGACTCTCATTACATATATTTCAAAAATTAAGTGTAACTCACAGATTGTTGACTATTGGTTCATTTTAGACACAATCTATCTTTTACTCTGGGGTGTTTAACTATACTTAATTTCAAGTGTTAAAATTTTCCAAATCTCGGGCCTCCCCTGCTGGCACAGGTGGTTGAGCACAGCGCTGTGAAGCTGTAGTCAGCCTCTGTAACGCGGGTTCCATCCTTACTGGCCGGCAAGGGTCCCACATGGCATAGCAGACCTCTCCTGTCACTCCCGCTGTTCCCCTCAGTAGTGTATTTCATCAGTCTGCCTGTTCTGTTCCCCACTCTGTCTCTGGTGAATCCTCTCCCCTTTCTGCACATCTGGCCTATACCCTGGTTCTTGTATAAATAAATAAATAAATCTTTATTTTTTTTCCAAATCTCTCTTGATATTCCCATTGTTTTGTTTATTATATCTTTTTTTTTTTTTTCTGTAGCTATTTCAAAATTTGTTACTATTTAATTTAATGTCCTTCATGGATAAGTTTAACAACTAAATTATATGTAGGCTGGTTTTCATTGAGTGATGTCACTCTTTATCATAGATTATATTTTCTTTCTTTTCCCCATGTATTACATTTTAGTTGTATAGAAATACTGTCCACTCTTCTAAAAAAGGAGAGTATAAAAAGAAAGCAACATTTTAATTTTCAGGTTTTTAATTTTTTTTATTTTTTTTTAAGATTTATTTATTTATTTCTTTATTTATACAAGCACTGGGTACAGTCAGAGGCGCGGGAGGGTGAGAGAATTCACCAGAGCCAGAGCCAGGAGCAGAGCAGGCAGAAGGACCGAAGTATACTGCTGAGGGGAGCAGCGGGCAGCAGAACAGGTCTGCGCGCCATGTGGAACCCTTGCCCCAGGGCCAGGGATTGAACCGGCACTGCAGAGGCCATGGGCAGCTTCGCAACCCAGCGCTCAACCGCTGTGCCACCAGGGAGGCCCAGGTTTTTAATTTCTTAATTATTTTATGCCAACAACTTTTTTATAATTAAAAAATATGTATTTTGGTTTTTAGTGATTTGTTTTCCTTTTAATGAGTGTTAAGATTTTCATATACTTAACAAATTTTAGTGGAAGTGTAAATTTTAAAAATATTTCAGCATAGCAGTTGGCATTACTTCCTAAAGAAAGATAATTGGAAATAAGCGTACTGTAATTGATGTGTATTTTTCATAGTTGTTTGCATTAATTCTGGAATTTCTTTCTGAGTAAATGAAATTAGTATATTTTTGAAGATCAAAGAGAAAAGTTACTCATTGATAGAAATAGAATTACAAATATGAAAAGGGAGAGAACATTTCTTAAACCCTATAATGTTAGGTTAATGTTGGAGGAATCAGTATAAAATTTGTACTTCTTAATATTTAAAAAATAGAAATATGCATGAGTTTACACATGTACATTAAGGGCACATTGGAAAAATAACAGGAATGAAACAAGGAAAACATAAGATGTTTGTATTCCCAAAAGTAAGTAAATACTCAAAAAGTGATTGGCATATGTCAAAAGACCTAGTTGTTATGCTTACATCTGTAATCTAAAGAACAGTAAATTTTGGAGTCACTTTTCTTTCTAAGAACATTGTAAGAGAAAAGAGAGTAAGAAAGATCGACATAAGGTATCAATTCCTTATATTCTTAAAATTTGACACAATATTATGACATGTATATTTCAAATATTTATTACATAGCAATTTTATTAATCAGTGTCAAATGATCAATCTTATGAACTGATACATAAATTACTACAAACCACATCAATGTATATATAAACATACATATATTCATACACACACATCTTTCCTATAACAAAGAAGTATATTGACATAAAGTAATGTAAGAGTTTTATTTTCAGCAACGTCACATCTTATGAAGAAAAAATGTGACACAGAATTCAATCTTAATTACATGAAATCTTCTCAAGCAACTATAAATATACAAAATATGCTATATGTCTCTAACCTGGCAAAACAAACACAGAAAAGTTTATATTGGATTCTGTGGAAAATAATATTTGAATTAGATTTTAGAAGAGTGGCACGATGCAAAACAGAAGTAATATCTTTATACGTGCATATATAGCTTTCATTAATGTAATGAAAGCAGGAGAAAAAAGTGCATAAATAAGTGAATGCATGAAACCATTCTGGAAAATCTCTTATTGAGGTCACAACAAATTTATTTCCTTCCATTTCTATTAAACTTTACTAAGCCCCTCTCCAATTTATTGTGGTGTTTGACATTATCAACCTCCCACTCCTCTAAATCCCTTTTCAGCTAACACAGTGTAGAATTTCTTATCTAAATTTACTTTTATTCACTAACTTCTATTCTGACTCCTTGACTCTTCCCCTTCACCACAGGTTGTTTCCTTAGTAATCTAAATTCTGGGCTTAATATTTGCTGTTTCATAATCATCCTTGAGAAGGGCCTTTATTATGGAAGTTATGATGGCTCTAAATTGTGCCTTCTATCTTGAATGCCTATCATCCAAAATTGGCCACCAGTTGCCCCAGGAGCTTTTCAGGAGGACCTGAACTGAATTCAGTCTCCTCTATGAGATTTCCATTCATATTTAAATCCTTGTTTCTAATTGATGCATCACCAGTAGAAGGAAATTTCATAATAGATATGATGAAGTCATCAAGTGTATTTCCTTGTGCTTCATTGCCTATATCAGATGAAACTCTCCTTTTATATCAGACTTTGCAACTGAGACTCTATTATGAGGAATACTTATGCCACCAGTGCAAGTGACATTAGCACCTTACTTCTTAGCTTCTCTGTCTCTGTAGAGTCACATGGTCCAAGAGACTGTCTCACTTGTTGGGAGTCTATATACTCATGTTCCTCTTACTTTATCCTCCAACCTCCACAGCTCATTCCCAACTCTCAACCAATGGCGAGAACTCTGGAAATCACTAATAAAACCATGTTATAAAATTCTGCCTTTTCTCAGGGTCTGAAACTTGTCTTGGGTAAAGATGCAGTGAGGTTCTGCTGAGACTATATCCTTATTTACCCCTTCCTTTTTTCCATCCTATTTCCTTTCTTCTGAGGAAATTTAAATAAGTCATGTAAACTGAATTCAATCTCCTGTCTAATTCCAGGGAACCTAACTTATGACACTCTTCTTGAAAATGTTTCTGAGTACTTATCTTACTCTATAATAATACAATCCTTATTTAATGATTGGGTTAACTCTATCAGCTTCCTAGATCAATCAGTTTTTTGTCTGCCTGTTTTTTTTTAAATATATTTTCTAACAGTGTATGATTTTTTAGAACTAACTTTGTAAATTGTGATAGGTAGTCAATTGTAGTTATTAATGCATGACTTGTGTAGCCAGACTGCCTAGCACTGAATTTCATTTTCACTCCTTATTAAATGCATAACTTGAATAAATGTCTTCATTTCTCCATTATTATTTCTATAGAAGAAAAAGCAGGGAAAATAAGAATTTCCCTTTCCAGCAGGTCAAAATGATTTAATAGATGCAAAGTGCTTCAAAAAGAATGGGCACATACACAGTGAGTGTTCACCAGCATCATTATCATCGCTGTCGTCGTTGTCATAGTCATGACCTCCATCATTGACTTCTGTTGTCCCCCTCTTTTTTTTAAAAGATTTATTTATTTATGCATACAAGAACTGGGGTTTAAGCCAGAGATGTGGGAGGAGAGAGGGTTCACCAGAGACAGAGTGGGAAACAGAACGGGCAGACTGAGGAAATACACTGCTGAGGGGAGCAGAGGGTGAGACAGGAGAGGTCTGCTCACCATGTGGGTTGCTCCAAGGCCGGCGGGGATCGAACCAGCACTGCAGAGGCTGTAGACAGCTTCAGAGTGCTGCACTCATCCACCTGCGCCACGAGGCAGGCCCTGAAAACTTTTTCTTTTTTTTTAAGATTTATTTATGTATACAAAGAGCTGGGGTACAGCCCAGCAGCGCGGAAGGGTGAGAGGATTCTCCAGAGACAGAGTAAGGAGCAGATCAGGCAGACGGAGCAAGGGGAGCAGCTGGAGACAGGTGAGGTCTGCTGCACCATGTGAGTTGCTACCTGGCTGGGCTGGGAATAGAACCTGCGCTGCCTCCACGGACAGCTTCACAGTGTTGAGCTTAACCCGCTGTGCCACAGGGGTGGCCATGAAAACTTTCATAATTATCATGTTATTCATTTATTTATTGATTATTTCCTGCATTTGGAATCAAAACCACATATTTCAGTTGCTGTTATTTGCAATTATAGTATTTCTTAATTATCCTATGGGTTACTCTGTCTTCCTCAAGATTATTGCAAACATCATGAGAAGTATCAT